CTATCTAACCCAACATACACAAAGTCATCATTTCAACACGTACATGATGTAAAAGGTATTGATAAATATCTGATGCATTCCTTTTGCACTGCCTTTGGAATGTCATGTGTACTTTACCCCCAAGGGCACATCTCAGTGCAGAGTGGCCACGTTTCAAGTGCTGAGCAGCTACCTGTGGCTTCCATATTGGATGGTGCAGAGCTCAGCCTTTCTGATGATAATCAGTGACAGCTGATACTTGGTCTTTGTTTCATTCCAGATTCTGTTCCAATTAAATGTATTGAGCCAGTCAGTACGCACCTTGACAGTCCTCATCGTATAGATGAGAATCTGAGGCAGAAGGAGGTGGAGGAACATTCCCTGGCTCAGGGCCACCCAGCTAGGACAGGGGCAGTCCAGCGACATGAGGTAAGGAGGCCCCTTCCTAACCACACACACTGCGCCCCTAGGGCAGCTCCTTCTCTCATCTCCCTTTTCTCCTAATCTTCCTGTTTCTCTCCATGGATTTCTTTCTCCTCGTGGTTTTCTTAGGTCCTCCCGTTTACTCCTTAGCTTCCTGACAGCACCCAGTGTGGACAATCTAATGCTCCCGAACGTGAGTTTTGGAGCCCTGTGAAGGGTCTCACCACCAGCCAGAGGCTGCAGCGACACACAGGCAGCCTGAGATCAAAACTCAGGTCTCCAACTTGCTTTGATCGCTAGCGAGATGACTCATCTACACGAAAGAGGAAAGATAAGGATATTTTAAGTACTAGATTTTTTTTTTCATTTTTCTTGTGAATAAAAAGCAACATGACCGTGGTATATCGGTAAGATAAATTATACCCTATTTCGGTCTCTCTGGATGTCCTATTTCTAAACTTCAAAACTTAGAATCCTATTTGAACAAGAAAATGCACACATCCAGAGAGCAGACACTTTCAGTGAAAACAGTTTCTTACAATCTCAGCGAACTGGGCAGACAGCACATGAAACTGAGATCGTGTCTGGGAACAGTCGGCTCTACACTGACGCATCTTTTCCATCACCAAGGACCATTTTCATGACTCAGGCTGCTGCTACCATAATGCTAACCGCAAACGCAACTTGTTTAAGATGCCAGAAGAATCTCTTGAGAAAGCCTCAGCTCCCTCAGCGAGAGAGGAGCTAATGAATATGGAGTGACAATGGAAGTTAAGTTCCTTTTGCTAAATGTTTACAAAGAGGGTTAAAGGTAAAGAAAGAAAAATATTCTCTGACGGCTGATGGTTTCCTGTGTGGGGGCTGATGCCTGTTTTCCATTGGGAACAGGCAATGAAACTGTACGTAAATTAAAGCACGAATGATTTACAACAGATATTAAGATCACTCTTGAATTGGGAGACATTAGAATGAGCTGATGCTGAAATTATGAAATTTCTTTCTTTCAGGTGTTTTTAAGGAAAAGAGGGATCAACCAATCCTCAGGCCCAATTTAAGCAAAGTTCTACATGAAGGCAGGGAAACCCCCACTTTTTCCAGCCAGTGCTCAGTCCTGTCAACGTGGGCCAGCCCAGAAATGGCCTTGGGACCAGCTACTCTTGAGAAATCAAAAAGGACCATTAGCACAGATGCAAATTTTACTATTTCCCATCTCATAATTTTCTGTTCCTTTCACTGCAAAATACTGTTCAACTCCTGCAAAGTACATAGCAGAATTTTTAGCAATTAGCAGGGAGGTAAATTAAAAAAAAAAAAATACTACGGCTTAAGAAATCTTTTCTTTTTTTTTCCTTATAGACTTTTTCTATTTTATATTGACAAATTATAGTTGTACATATTCATGGGGTACAAAGTGATATTATGATTTTTTAATACAAAGTGGGATGATTGAATCAAGCTAATTAACATAGACATCACTTCAAATATTTAACGTTTTTGTGATAAGAACATCTAAAATTTACTCTCGGCATTTTGAAATGTATAGTACTCGATTATTACCTGCATTCACCAAGCTGTGCAGTAGATCTAAAGAAATAAATCAGGCTTCCGCCTCCTATGCAAAACTGAGGCTTTATACTCTTTGACTATCATCTCCCCTACTGTCCCCAGCCCCCAGCCTCTGGGAACCACCATCTGCTCTCTGCTTCTGTGACTTCAACTGTTTTAGACGCCAGGTATAAGGGAGAACATGTGGTATTTGTCTGTCTGTGTTTAGCTTTATTCACTTAGCATAATGTTCTCCGATTCCTGTTGTTGCACATGACAGAACTTCTTCCTTTATTAAGGCTGAATAGTATCCCATTGTGTATACATACATTTCCTTTGTCTACTTATCCACTGATGGGCACTTAGGTTGATTCCATAACTTGTCTACTGTGAACAGCGCCACAGTGAACATGGCAGTGTAGACATCTCTTCGACAAAACTCATTGCAAATCTTTCCAGTAAAATATCCAGAAGTGGGATTGCTGGGTCATTTGATAACTCTATTTTTAGTTTTTTGAGGAAACTCTATACCACTTTCCATAATGGCTGTACTATTTTACTAATTTACATTCCCACCAGCAGTGTACAAGGGTTCTCTTTTCTCCGCATCCTTGCCAACCGTTATCTTTCATCTTTTTGATAATAGCCATTCTAACAGTCATGAGGTGATATCTCACCGTGGTTTTAATGTGCATCTCCCTAATAATGATTAGTGAGGTTGAG